TACATGGGAACGACTCCACTGACTTAGACATCCTATCATGAGGAGATATAGGAAGGTGTTCTATAGGCTTCTTAAGTTTGTAACTATGAATACTAAATGATTGAGGGTGTGGAATGAGACAAACATTGTTTGAAACCTGTGTAGATATAGTATGGATACAATCAAGTAAACTAAGATTATCTTCATCTTCCTCATCACGTGCATGAGGTAAGGGGTCAAGAAGTTCAACATGTTGCTCTAAATTTATGATGTGCTGGACACCAAGCCTGTGGGGGTGAGGAATCAGGTAATTTAGAGAGACTATTATTATGAGACTCTTCTAAGACCATACTTATCTCTATAGGTGATTCTACTAAAGAGTTCTCTAAAACTTCATCTACCATTAAAGCAGACATATCAGACTCTTTCTTAACCTCATTCTCAAGCTCATGTGGACTTATTGTGTTGGGTCCCTCTTCTTGCACATCCTCGTCATCTAGGTTACTAAAATCCTCAAAATTAGGCTCAAACACTTCAACACTACAATATTCCTCTTTACCTATATCCTTATGTTTTTGGATGACTAAAGGTTTAGAGGTGCAATCTAAAGAGATATGACTAAAACCTAAACAATTAGTACACTTATCCTTTGAACTTACCTTAGACACTTCATTGACAACTCGTTTGCCCTTATCTTTCTTACAAAGTTGGGCGCTGCTAGGATTAGATCTGTGGGGTGGAGCACCTAACAAAGAATCACTACTTCTGAATTAAGACCTAGTAGGGATACTATAAGAGCCTTGACGATTCATCCAATGATTCTTCGTGACCAACTTATAATCTTGAACTAAGGTATAAGCTTGGTTAAGGGTAGATACACCTTGAAATACAACTCCTTTTCTAAGATCATCATTTAAGCATCTACAAAATCTATGCAAAGTCATGACTTCACTCTCTCTTATGGCACATCTAATCATGTAATTGTTAAACTGCGTTATACACTCATTGATAGACTTATTTCCTTGTTTTAGATTGTTCCATTGATCTAAGAGTTTATTCCTATAAGACTGGGGTAGGTATTTCTCCTGAAGTTTTTGTTTCATTTTGATCCAATAAGTTATAGGAGGTTTACCTCTCATCTTTAAGCAATCCTCAACATCTCTCCAATAAATTTTAGCTTCATCAATGAGCATCATCTTAATAAATCTAACTTTTCTATTATCAGACAAGTTATGCCACTCAAAGAATCGATCCATATCACGAATCCACATATCAAATATCCAAGGATCATGACGACCATCAAAAGTGGGGGGTTTTATTTTGCTAGGACTCAAGACTCGCTCATCAAAGTCATCATGTTTAGAGTAACCTAAACGATAGTCATACTGGTGGCGCTCAGAGTGAACTTGTCCATAATGATTGTTCTTATGATATTCCTTAGTCTTTGAGTGCCTTATTCGAAAACTCTCTTGGGGCTCAATTCTCTTAAACATGTTGATCACTTAAATTTGCAGTTCTCTTTAAATGGTCGTTGAAAGTATCACTAAAGGTTGAGTCTACAGTAAGTGTAAACTTAAGCTTGTATAGTAAATGATCATGACATAAATGCATGTAACACTAACTTATAAATGGAATTGAGATCACAAATGGTTCTTGCATGTAAAATCACAATACAAAAATAAAGCTAATTTTAATTTTTTTTTTTTGTGAAGATTAATCAAGAATAAATTATGCCAGGAAAATTATAAGCATGCAATGCTAAACCTTTTAAGTGTAAATAATTAATCAAATAATGATCACAACCTTGTTTACTAACTTCAACAAGCTCAACAAACAGTTGCTAAATATCAAAGAAGAAAATGGTTAAGCAAGAGTGAACAGATAAAAAAATGCAAGATGCGATTTTTTTTCTTCCTAAGCACAAAAGTAATATTAACAACAACTTTAATGACCAAGTGCAATACCAAAAGTAAAATCGACAAATCAAAAAGAAGAGTAATTTACTGACTAGACTGCTTCGAAGTAGTATGTTGGAATTTGATGTTGATGATATGGTGAAGGCAATGACATAGCAAACATGTGGCAGCAATGGGCAGACATGGACATGGTAGCTGAGATGACAGAAACTGACGATGTGGCAGTTGGTGTAGCAGCCCTTGATTGATGTGGTGATGATGTGGCTTCAAAGTGATGACATGACGGATGACATGGGTCCAGGAAGTTGACGTGGCAGATGACGTGACAGGATTAATTAATTTCGCCTTAACTCTCTTCTTCTGTACTGCAATTGCGTTGTTGAGTTTTCTTTGTTGTTGTTGCTGGCGGCGCGACGTGATTGCTAAAGGCGAGGATAGTTGTAGTCTGTTAAAGGTGGTGGTTGTCGCTGGTCGGTTCTACTACTCTGCCTGTTGCTTATGGTTGAGGGCGACGACACTGGGGGTGGTGGCAGATGGAGATCTGTTGATGGCGCGAAGAGGATGACACTGGTTGAGGCGTTGCCACCGACGAGGATTTACTGCTGCTGGCGTGGGCGACCTATTGTGGCTGCTGAAGGCGATGACACAATGGACAGTGGCAGATGAAGATCTGTTGTGCTGCTTTTGTTGCGGTGAACCACCAGTCGGTGCTAGCTGTGATGGGTTGAGGCGCCACTGATGGTAGTGGCGCCGCTGTTGATTGTTGTCGTTGATGATAAACAATAAGCAATGTTGATTTCGGCAGCTGTTTGCTAATCTGCTCTCTCGTGAGGATGGTGTGCCCTGCGGCGGCTGCTTTGATGATGAACAACATGATGAACAGCGTGACGTTGAACAGGGAACTCTGTTTTTTTTTCTATTTTTTTTAATCAAACCGGAACTAGGTTTAGCATAGACGTGTGAATCATTTAATTGTGAGAACAATTAAAAGACATGCTCTGATACCAAATTTAACGCGGAACAACAAACAAAAGAATTAAAGCTAGGAATAGAAAGAAGCTTTTAGAAAAGAAGTGAGAAGAGAAAGCAAAAAAAGAAAAGAAAGGAGATTGGAAATATGCAAAATCTGCAATATTTTTTATCAATCATCAAAAGTCCCCTAACATTTAGAAAAATAGGGTATTTATACTAAAACCCTAGAATAAGCAATTGGGCTTATGGCCCACTAAATAAAATACCCAATAATAATTAAATCAAACCTAACAAATAAAGCCAAATTAACAAAACTCAACTAAAAGTTCATATAAATTAAACTCAAAACATAAGTTAAAGTCCAATCTTTTAATTGTTTAGGCTATCTTCCATCGTCTATGATCATTCACGTGCATAAATAATATTTCAAGTCCGGTGTCCCATTAATTGGTTTATTGTGTTTATTGTTACCTAATCAATTAAATTTTTGAGTTGAGGTAAATATTAAGTATATAAATTATAATAATAATTAATTATAAAGACCAGCACTTGAATCTCATATCATTGAAAGAACTACATTTCAAGTTTTCTCCTGCATCCCAACAAATGGAAACAAGAAATTATTATTATTTTCTCACAACAAAAATGTATTAATATATTGGCATTCTTTTCTGTAATCCCTTCCAAAACTATTCCCTCTGTAATACCTCAGCTGCAAAGAAACCTGCCTTTCATTAACAGTTGCTGTCGAAAACTATTAACAAAAATCTCAGCTCTCTTATCAATATCTTCATCTGGCGAGCCTAACTTCTAACCCTTTCAAATGTTCGAACTGGCTTGTACTTTTGATGATCTGATTCAACATCTTCAATTGCCCCATGCAATCCAATTCTATCATTATAGCTCAACCTCCTTGTCCTTCTAGAGAATTGAAGCCAATCGCCACTTTCTGAAATTGAAGCTAAGTATAAAGTTTATTTTCTTAACTGCCCTCTTCAAAGGGCCGAAAGCTGACCACTTCTGCTTCCCCATTTTGAGTTCTGATTTCTTTTGTTGCTTAGAACTTATGAGTGAAGGAATTTATAGGAGGGTTCGGAAAGGAAGAAGATTGTGACGTAAGATACACGGTAATTACAAGGAAGCGTGTCTGTCAGTATGATCATGACTTGTTTGCTGCTACCACCGTGAGGAATTTCACGAGTTGGGTGACAGATAAATCACAGACGCACTATTTGCCTCGTTTGTTCTAGATTTCTGAGAAATTTCTTCTTTAATAGGATAATGCACAGGAATTCAGTCGAGTAACAAATACAATTATGTATCAAAATTTTCACACCATCTTCTACCAAGAGTTCTTTCTTGCTCCAATGGCCGTTGTACAGGCACAACAAGTTTAAACAATTGTTCAGCTGTAAAAACTCAAACAGTTTTAGAACCTGAGCCGTTAGTAGAACTATTTAAATTACTATATTTTACAACAACAACCATTCTATACATCTTTTCTAAAATTAGATCAACCACATGGCCAATAGACGTCGTGGTTGTAACACAAGGTGGGGGGCTTCTCATCATTGTCATCAGGGGGGCATTCAACTGCAAAATATTTAAAACATCATCATCATGCATCCAAATAAGCATCAAGTGAGACTTGATAATGGTGGAATTTACCTAGGTGAGTCAACAAAGTTATAATCTGAAGTCACTGAGAAGGAAGAACGGTAAAGTACCTCGGTGCAGTCTTCACGATGCAATGCTCCCACACAGCTGCCCCAGTCATCTACAATAGGCACAACTTGATCCCAAAAGAAGCGCATAACCACTTTCTTCAAGTGAAGGGTACCAAGTAAAGGCTTAGCTGCTTTTAGTGGCATCATGATGCTCTCGATTGGTTCACTTGGTGATACCTGAACAGAGAGTTTGAACTCAAGATTGTCAGAGAGGTTCACGTGGTGATCTGTAGCTTGTAGATTGTCAAACATGACCTTAAGTTATCACAGGTGGAAAACTCTCAGTCGCATACTGGCATCTCCCATCCATAAACGAGTTTATTAAAGAGTCCAACGAGAACCAAATATTTGCTACTAAGGGTATTCAATTGGGTCGCGTTCTTGGCAAGAGCCATTCATGTAAAAGAATCACCCGTGGTGGATCCAGTCTCAACATGTATCCATCTTGTGTTTTTTTCATTATCAGTCAATAGGAGATCCATATATGCTTCAAGAACATGGAATGCTGATAAATAAACTCACGTACCTGAGGAAACAGATAAAGACTGAATATGGAATTGGTGAATCCCAACAAGGCCTCTATGCGCATAGCAACCTTCATTCCACAGGTAAATTGAGGGTTGGGAACAACTTTAGTAAGAAATAAAAGCCATTACTTAAAAAGTCACATGTAACTTTGCATAATTTCAAAATCCAAAATTCTAGGCTTAGTTGACAAAGCACTAAATAAGTTATGGAAATTTAGGTTCAATCAAGAAATGTCTGAAAGATATTCTTAACACTGGTTTCTCAAAAAGTCAACATATCCACCAAACACTTGTAATGCTCTGAGGCAGTTGACAAGCAATAAGAAATATCATTTCAGCTGACTCAAACATTGCATAATACAGAGCAGTTAAATAGATTATTTGATATGAAACCTAAGCCAGGGGCGCATAGTCGCTCTTCCTTTCATTTAGTCATGAAAAGTAAATTGCAATTACATGCCATGCCTCCTCGACTTATCCATGGTATCCGTTTCCATTTTAGTATAACATTTGTGAGATTTGCCAGAGCCACATTAACCTGACAAAAGGATAACACACAAACATTGTAATGTTCAGTAATTTCCCTATCACATCAGCTAATCACAGAGAGTAGTGCTATTTGGAAACAAGAACAGCTTTATAAAATAAAAACACAAAGCAAGTACAATAGCACAGTTGTTTGTACAAATAAAATGAGAGAGAGAAGAAGTATTGATTTAAATATAAATTAAAAATATTTATAAAAAAAACCATTAATTTTAAAACCAATTAGAAAAAAAAAAAAAAAAAACAAGAAGAAGCGAAAGTCAGGCACTGCTTTAGCTAACTCACCTCATTTATTTTTGTCAGGGTCTGTGTAACAGATCATTTAAAAAATCATGGTTTAAGTTGTTTTGACCTAAAAATTTATTTTTAATCTAAAATATGTATAAAACACAAAAATAAAAATAGTTAGATAATCAAGTTGAAAAAACAAAAAATATTTGCTCATCCCTGCACAGTAAAAAACCCACCCATTTTACAGTTACATTTAGAATCCGATTAAAAATGTGAGTGAAAACGTGTTTTTTTTAATTTTTATATTTTTAGATTATTTTAATATATTTCTACACAAAAAATATTTTAAACTAAAATCACTATCATAATCTCAAACAAATTCTTAATTTTACTCAGAGATCTAGATCTGCTAGTAATAATTATTGGTATGATATGCTAATACTGCTTGTTGAATTTTATTTTTATTTTTATTTTTGGTCATGCTCTTCACGTCATCTCAATCTCTCTAGAATTCAGGTCCACTTTCTTACAAGTTAGTATTATAAAACATATATGAAAGTACCTGAATTTTTTTTTTTATGTTTAACCTGCAGGTTTACTCTCTATGTTATTCTTTCATGGTTGCAATCCAAAAAAAAAAAACATATGAAAAATATTTTTTATGAATACAATAATTGGAATGTTAATGATAATGTTTAAGATCTGATCGGAGAAAAAATAATTTTAACACAAAAATTAGTTTAAAACTAGTATAAATTGTTTATTAAAACTTGGTCCACTAACCTTGACAGAGAATAGTAATTACAAAGAATAAATAAAAGAAGAAAGTAAATGATCATCTGAGCTGTGTTTTACTTCTTTTACTGTTAGTTTTCTGTTTGGCTTTTAATGGAAGTCAAGCACATCAAACACCTCACTTTGCCTTTTCACCACCTAAGCCTCTCTTTTCCTCTTTCTTCAAATTCTCCTTTCATTTTATTAAGCTTGGACTTCAAGGTCCATTTCTTGAAAAAAAGATTTACTTTCAAGAAATGGAAAATTCAGTGAAATATTCTTGTTTGAATCAATGCATGATGTTGAAGCAGAGAATTTTCTTTTTTCTGTATGCAGTTGCTGTGATATTATTTTCTGCAGATACATAGATCCCATCTAATTGTCTCCATAACTCAAAGAGGTATTTATAGGAACTTCTAACATATCTTTTCTGCTGCTGTATTTTTCAGTTCCTATGGCCAGTCTTTGTCTACAAGCACATTCACTGGGGAAATTGCATTTGCCATACTCATTGCCATCTTGGGCCTGGTTTTGTTTGCCCATTTGATTGGGAATATGCAGGTAATGTGGACACATGACATAACCTTAGGCTGTTTTAGGCCTCTGTTGCAATTGAAACCTTCCCCTGCTATAAAAATATTGACGTCTGTTTTCTTGGAAAAAACTTGGAAATGTTCTCATTCTCAAGAGAGTATTTCCCTTTTAGTTTTCATGATAATTTTCTTCTGAGATACAAAACTCTGCAGTATTTAACATACTCTCTCTTGAATAGACCTACTTGCAATCTATCACTGTGAGGCTTGAGGAGTGGAGGCTCAAGCGATGAGACACAGAAGAGTGGATGAGACATCGTCAACTGCCCCAAAGTTTGCGAGAACGTGTCAGAAGATTTGTTCAATACAAGTGGCTTGCAACTAGAGGGGTTGATGAAGAATCAATTCTGCATGCATTACCTACGGATCTTCGTCGAGACATCCAGCGTCACCTATGCTTGGACCTTGTTAGACGAGTAAGGGACTCCCTAGTGCTGCTTTCAAGCATTTTAAAATCTCATGCAGCTTTAGCTAATGTTTTTCCTATTTGTAGGTTCCTTTTTTCTCGCAGATGGATGATCAGCTACTGGATGCCATATGGGAGCGCTTAGTGTCCTGTTTGAGTACTCAAGGAAACTACATAGTTCGAGAAGGTGATCCGGTTACGGAGATGCTCAACTACAAATGGAGGGCGAACAGGTTTCTTCAATTTAATTACTTTGAGACCTGGTGACTTTTGTGGTGAAGAGCTGCTTGCCTGGGCATTGCTTAAAAAATCTTCTCTCAACTTACCTTCTTCCACAAGGACAGTGAGAGCACTAGAAGAAGTGGAAGCATTTGCATTGCGAGCAGAAGACCTCAAGTTCGTTGCCAATCAGTTTAGACGTCTCCATAGCAAGAAACTACAGCATACCTTCCGTTTCTACTCTTACCATTGGAGAACCTGGGCTGCCTGCTTTATTCAGGCTGCTTGGCGTCGACACAAGAAGAGGATGATGGCAAAGAGCCTGAGCATGTCAGAGTCCTTCTCAGTTTCTATTGATGAGCAAACAGTACGTGACGAAACAACACAAGAGGAGGATGAACCAAGTTTTGCACCTTCAAATTCTCAAGCAAAACAGCACCTTGGTGTTACAATACTAGCTTCAAGATTTGCTGCAAACACAAGGATAGGGGCACAGAAAGTCAAGAATGTTGAAATGCTCAAGTTGCAAAAACCTGAAGAGCCAGTCTTCTCTACAGAACCAGATGATGACTAGCTCGACCCCTGTTCTCACCCAACAGCCAACTAACAATGGGAGAAAGCTAATATGGAAGGCAAATGATCCAATCCTGAACGGATATTAATTAAAATCCTCCCCGCCATTACTAGTGCCATAAGCACCCATGGAAGACTCCATTACTTTTTATGTAGCTGGAAGCCATGTTGATGTAAAAGGTGCGAGTTGCTTGTGATTTATCCCATGTAGCCAGTTTTGATTAGAGTTTTGTCAGAGTCAGTCAGGTGAGATTAACACATTATTGCCTTGGATTTTCTTGCTGAAATGGCTCTGAGCTCCGTGATAAATTTCAGCAAGATAATCTTATTCAAGAGGATGAATGGCCTTGACGCAGTTGCGGCTAGTGAGGCTGTATTTCGTAAGGAGCTTTAAATTGTAATATTATTAAATTAGTTTTTTTCGGTATTTTAAGATAATTTTAATATGCTGGATCGAAATTTGGAAAAACATTAAATTATTCCAAATATATTTTTAAACAAATACATGTCATGTGTGCTCAAATATGCTTTTACAAAAACAAATGTTGATTTTTGTTACTGTATTATTAAATATAAGGTAATTTTTTGTTAAAAAAAAATAAACACAATGAAAACGAAATAATTCGTGAAGTCTTAGTCTATCTATTAATTTATTATTAATGAAAATTTATTATTAATTTTTTTAAATAAAACTATATTTATATGGGTAAATATATTTTGACTAATTAAAAATCATTTTAATGTTTGATTTTTTTTATATCATAATAATTATAGATAAAATAAATTATAAAGTATCAAAAGATGAATTAAAAAAATTACTGATTAAATTAGAAAACAATTAAAACGATAAAAGAGGGTGAATTATTTCAACCTGTAATGCTTGCCTTGTCGTTAAATCAATAATTTTTTAATTAAAAAAAAGTTGATGAATTACTTTATTTTTCCTTTTGTTTTCTCCTTTTTCACCATTCAATAAAGTTACCAAGCAAAATAAAACATATAAGCACCGAGATGGAAAATGATATGTATCATGAAATCAATAATATTTTTAATTTGCTATAAATATTTAATTTTGTATATATATTATTAATTAATAATTTAAGAATTATCATATTATTTATATTAAAATTAATAAAAATAACCAAAAAAAAAACTAAACGATGCTGCTGAATCACTTTAACCACACTCAAAATAATATTCATATGAATGGTGTTTCATGAGTTTTTTTTTTAAAAAAATTTACTTAATTTCACATTTTAATTACTCAATTTTATTTTTTCTAATTTTATTATTTAATAGAAAATTATTTTAAAAATTAAGTTTTATAATATTTTTGATTTTTTTAATTGAATTATATATTAATCACATAAATTTAGTTTTTTTTTTCAATTTTAACATTTAATATTTATAATTTTATAATATTTTTATAATTTTTTTTATATAAATTTTAACTGATTTCATAATTTTAAAACTAAGTCTAAGCAGGTTAATTTATGGTAATAAGTTTTTTTTGGTTGATTTTTTTGGTTGATTTTTTTTATTTTCTAAGTTTTTTTTAATTTTATTTTATAACATCTTAATTTTTTCTTAGTTTTTATTTTTAATTTTAGGAATTATGCTTTGTATTTTTTCTCTCTTGAGTTATATATCATTATGATGATTTTTTTTCCCTCCGCTTTAAATATTATATTTATTACAAATCATGCTTATTTTTTAAATTTACTTTTTATTAATTTATATCAGTTTTACCGCATAAACTGGATTAATTCTGATTATTTTTTTATTTCATACGGGTTGAATTTTGTTTTTTTTTTTTTTAAAATGTGTATGATTTGCTTTCTAAACCGTTCATTCCCAACGAATTTACTTCCCCAAACTTCTGCATTCCTTGTCAGGGAGAGAGAGAGAGAGGGTCCTGCTTCCACAAATCCCTTTCTTCAATCTTCCGGATTTGTTACAAAGTGTCTGTGTCATTTGGGTCAATAAAAAACCAGACCACAAGGAGAAGGAAAAACACTTAGGAAGGTCGACGATGATGGCGGCGGCGGCAGTGAGACGAGGAGGTTCAGAAGCCTTTTTCATTGGGTCCCATTTTCAGCGATGCCAATTGAAAATGATGGGTATGATTCTTCTATCTCCAACCACTTCATCAATGTTGTCTATCAACCACTCCAACTCCATTTCTTCTTCTAGCAGTAGCAGTAGCAGTTGCAGTAGATATCAACACAACAATGACGCTTCTTCCTCTCTTAGAAACATTGATGATGCCCTTGCTTCTTTCAATCA